GAAATAAATAAATATATGACATGATTATTTTATTTTAAGTTGATGAATGAATATAGTTTTTAGTGAGATGACTCGGAGTTAATTATAGTCTTTTTAAGAGTTGCATGTAATCAAAGCGCGCATTATAAAGATTGTTTACGGCAGTAAATCCCACGGCAGTAATTCCTGTATACAGTACAGGGACAGGGAAGTTATCAAATATTTTATATACATGAGCTTCTAAAAGTTAGCTTTATACCACAAATTATTGATATTTTTCACGATAATACAATTCTTTGGTTCTTTTCTTAATTTCTTCCTATGTTTTTATCGTCACCTTTGATAATAGTATATTATCTTTCGTCATTATTAGTTAGTTAATATATATCATGAAAAAGAACAATCAAAATCTTAGAAAAAACTTTTAGAAATTATGGATGAATAAAGACTTCATTTTGGGTGTCTATGTCTGAACGAATACAAATATTATCGGTCTATAGAATGAAATAATGACTTAATAATGTGTAAAACCATTCGTATTTCGGTTTATCACAATCGAAATGTTGAAACCGTGTGACAAATAATAGCAGCTGTCAAAAATTGACCATATAGAAGAAAGTTCATTCATGATGTACATGAAAAATTTTATTGAATGGTAATCATTTGGTGAAAAACCATACTGGTTGTCGAGGAGGGCGCTTTATAACATCTTTGTTAAGTTAGAAATTCTATCCTGATTGTTTCTTGAAAAATTCCACTTTGTTTCAAACCATCAGGAAAATGAAATTCAACACAGCGATGCCTGCCCTCTTTAGATCCATTCTTCAGTATAATTATAGTTCCATCCCAATCATCACCATTATATATTCAATAATGGATGAAAAAAAAATGAACTTAATGTTTTGCTTGAGCTGTAAAATAGATCCCATTAACGACAACACGTTTGTCTTTACCATTATGGGTTCGTGTGGGTGTGTAGATGTAGATTTGGGTCTTCTCCACACACACCACACCGACACCCACAGCCAAATCCCACAGTGTAGGGTGTCAGTTCCTGGTTCCATTCCTGGGAATCCATACCGACCTGATACAGATTGAAAGAATAAACATGTCCATAAGTCTCAATATAATCAGTAAAGCGTGGAAACAAATCTTCGAATGGGTTCCGTTCCCAAGGAACGATATTCTAGGGAACGGAGAACCTCGACACCCGTACCTCACAGCCACACTCCACACCCTTCTTTTTTATGCGAAAAGACATCGCATTTTTCTGCCGTTTACTTTAGAAAAAATTAAACTTATCGATCTTTCAAAAGATAAAAGCACAAAGTCATATGAACAGCAGCTTTTGAATGATCGTAACAATAAATCAAATCGAAACAAGTGAATGTTTGCTGTTGTCGAGCTTAGAGTATGAATTGTTTGGCTTTTTCTTTCGATTCCTCACACATGATCCCATACAGTTAATGGCAACACCATTTAAAAATTCAAGCATTAGACGGTGAAGCCCAGAATGTTATTCAATTTTTTTCTTTTGCAGCTAAGTCAAACAAAAACGTGCACTGGTGTAAAAAGCAAAACATTTCAGCAACTGCTAGCGGTTCTGTGCTGGTATCACAAGCTGAAATCATGCGATCGTTCTCATTGTGTTTTTTCAATCAATGTGATACGATACATTCTAGGTATTTCGATCTGTGCCTGAGTACTTCATTTTTATAATTCAATCTTTAAATGTTTAGGAAAAACAACTATTATATCGCCTGTATATGTTTGTCCAACAAACACTTCGAACGTTACTATGGAGTTGTCTTCTGAAAATCATTCTGCATGGGCAGATTCTTCGAATTGTTCTATTCCACTATGCATTACAATCTCAGTGAACTACAACAATAATTGTCTGCCATCGGTAATGCCATGCTATGACTATCGAACATTGAATAACACCAGTTATTGTGCGCCTGGTGCTCTCTGTTCGTTGCTGGAACCATGCAACGTCAATGATGAATGCTGTTCAGACTCATCCGTATGCGTCATTAATTCATGTTGCGCAACACAAACAGTGTGTTTGACATTACCATGAACCAGTTTATGTTCATCAACAATTGCAACAACAAGTGAGATACTCTTCTTGTTTAGTCAAGTGTCGATATGTGCTCATCCGTTTTCAACCACATCATAAGTTGCTACCTTTTTAATTGATCACAAAAACCAAGTGTTCAGTTTTTTGAAGTTCTGACCGAACATCTCATGTCAAAAGTACTATCAATATTTTCACTAGAATCTGTATTCTTCATGCCAATGGAGAATCAGTAAAATCTAGTGGTTGCTATGCTTAGAACAAAGACGACTGAAAAAGAAAAAAAAGAACGCGTACATTTGAATTTTATTCTAAAGAAAGAAAATTGCAAATGACACATTTTTTTTTCTTAGTGTTTTTGTTTCCTCATCACTTTCTTTATTCTATATTACGAAATCAATTCTGGTTTATTGATACCATACATTCAGTGCAAACCCTATGGAATTAAAATGGAAACACCAAGTAGAAGCTCTAAATGGTACATAAAGACCTTCCACAGATTCGTCATGATCCGTTACCAACTCAAAAGACCAGCACGTGGAGATGTCTGTCACGAGCTATGACAAATGCTAATAGATCACATCATAAGAAAAAAAAGAATTTTTAATGTGTATGCTTTGAGATCCATTCAAAATGTAAAAATCTCTTGAAAACCTGAAACTACAAGTTTCAAAAATTTAAAATAGCATGTCGAGATGTTTGTCAATGTTTGAGAAACAATTGTTCTTTAATTTTCTCGCTATATTATTTTAATACCCATTACCAATCGTGTTTCACTAAATTCAAAAGAATGTCTGTTTTAGCTGCCACTACTACTAGTACATCACCTCCGTCAATAACAATCGCTTTTTGGTCGTTTGATTACAATACACGTGAGCTGTACAACACTGGTCTCGATGGTGTTCTCGTTGGAGATCCAACATATACGACAAGTCGTCTTGGATACGGCGCTGCCATCAGTCTTAATCAATCATCTTCTCAGTTTGTGTCAATCACCACAAGAAATGTTCCTTTGAATTCGCGTAGTTTTACAATCGAAGCATGGATTTATCCGATTGCATTGACTGTTGTAGATTATGGAATATTTGGTCAATGTCAATCAGAAGATACCAATTTGTGTTTTCATTTTTTATCGCGCAATATTAAATTATATTGTGGCTTCTGGGGTAATGACGTGTCTGGAGCGACCATATTGACAATGAATGTATGGACCCATGTTGCTTGCGTCTATGATTCGGCAACTTTTACCCAACAAGTATGGTTGAATCGTGTTCTTGACGGTTCACGTTCAGCGTCTGCTTATCAGGGTACGTCGGGTGCAATATCCATTGGTTTATGGAGCCATGAATATTTTAATGGTTACATCAACGAGGTGCGTTTTGAAGCTAGAGCTAAAACTGCAAATGAACTGTTGAATGATGCTACTTTGTTCGTTTATTACTCGCTCGATGACGGTTCTCTCATTGATGATAGTTTCAATGGCATAAAGGGTACTGTTTCTGGAAACATAACAATGACAGCAGGTAGAGTGAATCAAGCAATACAATTTACTTTATGAGCCTATGTGTATTATACATATGTTTCATTTTACTTTTGGAGCATCAGCAATAATTCTTTTAGCATAACCCTGTGGACAATGCCAACTGAAAGTTATGCAGCATCAACGCTAGTTTTCGTACACATATCAACTTGGTATGTTCACTTTGTGGCGTTGTCATCGACTGGATATGTGAGTGCAAATCTAGAGAATGGCGATAATGTGAGTGTAAGTGGTCCTATCCTTACGTTAAACAGCTGGACACATATTGGATATACGTATAGTTCCAGTAACGGTATTGGATTGTACATAAATGGTACTCTATACTCCATAAATGGCGCTTTGTTTTTTAGAGGTTCTGGCTCTCGCATGTACATGGCATTGGGCGGAGAAAGAACTGTTCAATAATGCATACAGTCACATATCTTCTTAATCTCTATCAAGTAGGCAGATTAGTTGACGCAAAATTCGAACATTTGGCATACCGGTCGAACCAGTTGCTCATCAGGTTACGGAAGCTCGTTTACTGGTGGTTTGGATGAATTTTATCCGTATCAGCGTGAAATATCGGCATCCGAAGGGTTGACATTGACGAACCCTTAAACTGAGACGATTAAAACCATTTTCGATGTTGACTGCTTTGAATGTGGGGTGGGTGTGAGTATCGGCAGAATCTTTATCCTTAACCAGATCTACACCCCACTCCCACCTTCACCCCCACACTCACACCCAAGCAGCACATAGAATGTGAATGTCTGTCTGGGAGACTGTGGGATATGAGTGTGGGTGTTGGTAAGTGTGTAGATGAGGATGGGTGCAGGTGAGTTCTGTCGTCAACCACACATATACCTACCCTCACACCGTTTTCTCGAACTACGTGTATCGATTTTATTTTTATGCGTAAATTTGAAATCAAATCAAAGTCAACTTTTAATAATAAAAGTTAATGACATGCATTTAAACCAGTCATTATGTATCTATATAATAGATATTATTTATGAGAAATTCATCTGTATACATAAAACGATGAATTTTATTGAAATTTAACAAAAGAATCGAACTCTTCATCATGCTAATATTGAGCGGGTAGAAATGATTGAATTTCTTACCTAAATTTCTTGCTTCATAAAGCTGGGGAAAAATATGTATATAAAAGAAGTTTTGTTTTCTATGTGAAAAATGAATTTAAACCTTTTTCTTATTCTCAATATTCAATATAGGTATTTATGTTCATCCTAAATCAAGAGAATTTCTCTCTGTTTATTAAAACATCTTTTCATACGAAAATCTTTATGCAAATAAAACAAACTAAAAAACAAAAAAAGCAACATGAAATTTCAAAGAAGTTAATCCTGAAAAAAGTAAGACTACTAGATACTAAACTAGAATAATAATAAAAAGTGATATATATTGTTGATAATAAAAATGTTGAATGATTTTATTCTACATGTACACAATCTTTATTGTCATCTTCATCTTTGTTTTCTTCCACACGTAATTTTTTCATCGAACATGTAACACGATCACTTGCAAGTTGAATTGGTGTTGAATCCAAATCACAGTCATCGAAATCTGATCGAAGCCAATCTAACATTTCTGTTTTAAGTCCAGGTGCTGCTGTTGTCGTTAATTGGCTTTCATTTGAATTTGTTTTTACATCAGTTGTTGTTGGTGATGGTGGTAATGTATCATGTTGATCATGGTCAAAATCTTCTTGATGATGTGCATGAATTTTATAATGATTTTTCATGCGATAGGCTGATGGAATATATTGATTACATACTTTACATGTACGTCTTTTTAATTCTTTTTTTACTGATGAACAACAGTAATCAAATGGTAACATTTCACTCTGAAAAAAAAAATAGTTGTCTTTATTAAGATGAAGTGAACAGTGAGGATGAATCAATAGTATGGTTGTTATTATTAAATATTGATGATATGAGTCTCGTTCATGCTTGCTGAAAATCGAAATTGAAAAAACCGAGCCTAGTGAAATTTGTCAATAGAAAGTTTAAAATAATTTTCTAATTTAAGTACTGGTCGATTCCAATGAAATCCGATTATTTTCGGAGATCGAAATCACTTGAAATTCTCATTCTTTGGTGCTCAATTAGACATAAATAGGATCATCTACTTCGAGTGAGATCTTGATTGAACTGAAATCATTCTAGTCATCACTAGAAGCAGAACAAAGCTACAATTTTTATTGCATATCTGTGTTCGAATTATAGCTAGCTATGAATGAAACGGTATTCGTTACGTTTTATAACAAAAATGGAATGGAGTCGATTGATATCCTTATCAACAAATATTGATGACATTCCAAATAAATAGTACTTCTTGTCGCTTCTTCTTTTTTTGCAATGACCACTAGAGTAACGAAACGAAGAGCAAAGTCAGTATTAGATCTTATTTCTATCATGATTTCTTTTTGTTTCTATTTATCTATATGACGATCATATATGATCAAAGCATGATCGAAACTGAGAACAGACTCATTTTGCTCATATCTCGATTTCAAGTCAATCTAACTGATTGTTTTTCTATTTAATTGTTAATGAATAATAATAAATAAAACTATTTTTGTTTTAAACCTGTGTATGTTGAATAACAATACCATGAAATTGAATTCGTTGAAATAATGATCCATAAAATTGTCCTTTTTGATAATCTTTCTCTGCCATTCTAACACCATATGCTGTACGTTCAAATGGTACAGGTGCTGGTAAAAATCGATGAGGAAATACTCGAACATAATTTGAACGCCATTGACCACAACATTCAACTGAATTACAACGAATAATTTGTAAAGTATATTGTGTTTGTAAAACATGTATAGCACACCAATATTCATCAATATCATATTTTGGTTGTTCAACAAAATTTTCTCTTCGTACACGAGCATTTTCTTGATAATATTCATCCGATGCATGAACACGAAATTCCTGTCCTTCTTCTGCTTCTTCTTCAGCACAAACTCTATTTTAAAAACAAAAAAAAATAATATTTATTAGATAAAAAAAAAAAGAATAAAATAAAATTAACTTTCGTAAAAGCTCATCCAGAACAATTTTAGTATCAACTTGTCTGCGTTCATCTTCTGATGTCACTGGTGGATTAATATATTCCGCAACACATGGAAATCCATCAATAACAGATTGATTCCATCTTTCAGCTAAGATTTGTCCAGCTTTACGAAAATTTATTTTTTCTAAATCAATATTTGTTGTTACACCTGAATCATTTAAATGTGAACCAAAATGATCATGTGGTAATATAAGACCAGCTAAATCATGAGATAATGGAGCCATACGACGTTCAACTAAATTATAAGCTGATTGGCCAGGACTCAAAAAATAAATAAAATATATTCAAAAATCTTTTAATATTAAAATGTAAAAAACTTACGCATGTGTAAGAACAAAAAGTGCATCTAAATTATATTTTTTAAATTTTTTAATACTTGCAACAAGTGTTTTTGGAAAACGTGGATTTTCATCGGGACCACCATCAACAGTAACAATAACAATTGGTTTAACTTGTCCAGTTTCATCACGTGCTACTTTTTCAAATTCTTTTAAACAAACAAGACGCTCAAAATCTATTGCATGAGAATCAGCACATGATAAATCATGTTTAGCTGAACGTATGGCTACATATGTTGGACCTGAACAACCTAAATCACCATTTTCAGATAAAAGACATGCTGCATATACACTTGGTGTTAATTGATGTCGAGGTGCAACTACCCAATCATGATCTGGTAAACTTATTCGATAATCCAAATGCATTAACATTGGCGCTTGAACTCTAGCCGCAGGTAAACCTAATGGAACTTTACATTTATCATCTTGAGATAAATAAAGAACACAATCATTGCC